ACTATTCCAAAATCAATTCTTCCCCTAAAAATCTTTACCAAACACACTCCAAATGTGACTGCTCTTACAGAAATGCCACCACTTGCCACATTATTGCTCTGTACGTAATCATTTTTCTTTACAGTATTGCTATGTTATATTTGTTTAATATACCGTATTGATTTGGGCTCGTATCGTTTAATTTTGTATTGTAGGAGAGTATATGCATTAAATCTTGTGAGTCCAATCCCGGATGAGCTCCGGAATTTAACCTTCCTCACCGATGTGTATGTTAATTTTGTACTGGGTGATTTCTTCAAGTACTATGTCCTATTGTTTTTTATGATTGATACTGCCTTTATTGCAGAAATTTGGCCAAAAATTATTTGACAGGTCCCCTACCTCCATCCATAGGCGACCTCATTCGTATGCAATATCTGTAAGGCATCTAGTTCGAAATTCATGGCTCCAAGTCAGGTATTGGTGTTGGCGTGTGAAAATGTTTTGAATTTCTGAATTTAATGCCATTAGGAGCTTTGGCTTCAATGCTTTATCTGGGGAACTTCCAAAGGAACTTGGCAAGCTGACGGACCTAAGAAATCTGTAAGAGCTCATTAGTTTCCGTTAAAGACACAATAACTTTCTTAATGCCTTACACTGATTTTAAGGATCTTGTGATACCCTTGTCCATAACTTTATAAAGAACTTATTTTTCAGAAAAACAAATACGTATACATGTTTATTTGCTCATGTGCAGGGCGCACAAACAACTTTTCCGGTCCTTTACCATCAGAACTTGGACACCTTACAAAATTAACAGAATTGTAAGTTCCAGTGACTGCATAATTCTGTGTCATCACAGAATGTGATACTTATGTTTGGCAACAAATGGAATTCAAACAACAGACACAGGTAGTGGTCATGTGTGTAATTGTGTGTAATACTAAAGTATGTCTCCGCCTGCGCACTGTACTGTCTTATGAGGATTTCGTGATCTCGTTCTGATTAGATTTTACTCATCAAGAACCTTTACCTTTCTAAGCTCTTGAATCTCTTTCGTTTTCTCAATTGACACATTAATCTTCTCTTAACTATTGTGATATTTGGTCTTCTTTCACCATTTAATCTCTGGTTCACTCTTTTGTAATCTTCATTTTTATTACATTCAAGTCTAGGTCTTGTGTGTAATAATGATTAATAACTCATTATTAAATTTGGCAACAGTGTAATTTTCCTAGTAATCTTTTCTTGTCTCTGGTGAAGAGGGACTCGTGCTGCCGAACCCAGATTTATTAGGCATAAGGCTTAGTTTGTTTTCGTTGTTGAATATTTTCTTATTACCATCTTGAAGCTAGAGGGTTCTTTATGAATTCTCTTGGGAAAATAGCAAAATCATTATGGTTTTTAGTACAAAAAAATGTCAGTTTTTCATTATGATGTTCACCTTGCCAGTTACTTTGATAGCTCTGGAGTTAGTGGTCCAATACCTTCTACATTTGCTGATCTGAGGAACTTGAAGATTGTGTAAGTGCTCAAGGACACGTTCTCCTTTTTATTTCTACTAGAAGAATTTTTCATTTAATTAATTATTCAGTGATCATGATCACTGGTAAAAAACAATTCTGGGGATTTCAGGTTTGCTTCGGACAATGAACTCACGGGGCAGATACCCAGCTTCATTGGCGGATGGTCGAAGCTTAGTTCCCTGTGAGACAATTAATATGTCTTTTCATTTTTATTGAACTTGTTGTACTTGAATTCACTTGTTTAGTTTATCCTATGTAGTGAGAGAGATTTTTACCACGAAATTTATTTAAATTTTTTCTTGCACAGTCTTTGATTAGCTACATTAATATACATTTGCAGAAGGCTTGGAGGAAACTCATTTGAGGGTCCAATACCATCAACATTTTCAAATTTAACCTCTTTGGATGACTTGTGAGTATTAAGCACTTCTCTTTTTTGTCTCAGTGTTCAGTATTTTCTCTGCATGCTTTATAGCAGCTAAAGTTTTTGGTAAAATCTGATACCTAGGAGAATATGAGGTCTATCTAATGGGAGCTCTCCACTGAACTTCCTCAGAGATATGACATCTCTGGTCACCCTGTAAGGAAAACATAACAGAGCTTCTAAATATGCAGCAACACGATCTTCTTTATTCCACTCCCAGTTTTTTCGAATCGAGTTCTTATTCAATTTATTCACTTGTCTGGCAGAATTTTGCGGAATAATAAAATTTCTGGGTCCCTACCTTCCAATCTTGATCAGTACCAGAGTTTGTCCCTATTGTAAGTCTCCCCAACTTTTCAGCATTACTGCATAAGAGGTTTAACCCTGTAACAACTTGTTAATTCCTTAAATTTTAATTATTTCTTAATGTTTTTATGGTGATCAGGAGTTTAATATTTCAATGCTCATTTTTCTATATTGTCATAATTTAACTTTTCAGGGATTTGAGCTTCAACAATTTCAGTGGACAGATTCCAGATTCACTGTTCAATCTGACTTCACTCACTCACTTGTAATAAATCATGTTATGCTTTCTTATGGTTGACAGCACATAATATCTGCCATACAACATGAAAAAATAACAAAAATGTGAAACGAAGAAGTATCTTTGTCTGTAATATCTTTCTACATGTTCAGGTTGTTGGAATTTTATTAAAACTTGAACTTTATGAAATTGTCAAGATTTTCATGTCAAA